TATGTAAAGTAATAATCCTTCATCAGAAAAATGCATAAATGTAATCCTTCAAAATGCGTGAATGTTGCACATGCCTAAAACTATTCACACACTTATGCTTAAAGTTGTCATTTTGTGGACGTAATTTTGTCCCAAATGAGAGGTGCAGAAAATAATTCCCTCACAAAATCACATCTCAATATCACACACAATGACACAATACAATTCATTAGTTTAATAGGGAAACATATTTGACTATGTGTCATATTTACAAACAGTCATGCATGTTTAATTAATAGGTTATCTATAAAGAGTCAATTAAGTCATACAAACTTTACATTGTCATCATAGCTCAGTTGGTAGAGCGTTGGGTACTAATTCTAAAGCCCCTGGGTTCGAGTCACCGTCGCGTCACTTTTTTAAAACTTTTTTTCACATTTATTATCACCTATGTGTATTTATATTCACACATATACATGCATTTAAAATTAAGCATGAATTTGCAAATAGTAATCCTTCAGCTAGGCTTAATTATTAGTCGTATCATAGTCTCTTTTTGGTGTAATTATGAACAGGACCTCAATATCAGTGTAAATGACCCCAAATTATTACAATTAAAATACCACTGCTATGGCAAAAGATTTTAGTCTTACCAACATAGATCAACATAGAAGATAATTTATTGTATAGTTTTGGGACAATTATTTTCAAAAAAAATGAATAGACGTGCTATGATCTCATATACAATAATGCCCAAATACTATAATGTAAATTTTAAACAAATTATACTATTATCAAAATTTAAATAAGTATACAGTTTGTAAGTTTAAATAGTTTTGTGGATTAAAAGGTAAAATGGTAATACCATTTTGGTATAATGGTTAATGGTTAATACCCATAATTGGGGGGCACTATAGTATATGGGCAGAGCGATATCGGTGGGGTTAAGTATATACATGGAACAAGTGCTCCGAGAGGTATCCAACGATGTATATATCGGATGTACCGGATGTACCGTTCCCGAGATATCGGGTCTAAGAGTAACGATCTTCCCATAGAAACCCATTATAAAGCAATATTTCAATTTTCATAGAAAAGCATATTTTGCATAAATCTCAATAAAAATAATTTATAACATTCACATAACCTAACCTAACCTAACTAATATTACATATAATAAATATTTAATTTATTTTATAATTAGACTATATAATATGTTTTATCCCTGGAACAACTTGACATGTAAGTCTAATATACTGTAAGTATAATGTATTCCTATGCAAAATTGAAATATTGTTTTCATAGTTGAATTTCAAAATTGAAATATTATATTGTATTGAATATAATTATGTTAAAATTAAGTGTTTTAATCCAATGTCTTAAACCTACAGTATATTAGTGATCTAAATCTAAAGGTTTTCATTATTTATACAATTAAGATTAGCATCGTCAACTATTAAGCTGAATAGCATTGAGTTACTACATTAGGAAATACTTAAATATATAATTTAACAACATCAATATATTACAACTAACAATAGTTGTAAGTTTCTATTTGTTTCTATTTGTTAAAGTTTGTTTAATTCGATATATGAAAAATTATTCATCTTAATAGATTTAGAAAATGCGAAATAACAATCATTAATAACCCTAATACTAACCATAGTCATTATTTAACATAAAATGATGAGACAATTGAATTACATAGACGAATAATGTTTATGATATAAATAAAAAAATGCTACAATAAATTATATGTATTTTGAACATTTATTAAAATTTAAATTAAGTAATTACAATTAATTAAATAATAGACTGTAATTGTCTTTTGTTTAAGTTAAGAATATGACAACATTTTTAAAACTAATATTAATGGCTTTTCAAAGGTAGACCTGTTTTTAACTACAATTTATTTATTGCAAATGTGTTTTATACTTATTTAATTAATTAATTATTACAAATTTTATTATAAAAATTAATAAAACGAGGCTAAATTGATTTTGGATATTAAAAACTGTAATTATTTAAGAGAGAATATTTTAATATAGCTTGCTCAATGTAATTTATTAATGCTGGGGCGAAGTGTTAGCTACAATATTTGTTTTAAAAACTTCAATTGAATGTTTCACATTAATCTCAATTATTATTTAATTTACATTTTTTTTTCGCAAAAACCACTATTTCTTCGTTTAATGTTATTTAGATACCAATGAATCCATTGTTTGCTTATAATGAATGATAGCCATAAATGATCGATTTAACACCTTTTTTAAATCACATTATATTTATTACTTTATCAAAATTTTAATATTTTTGATCTATTCTATTTACAAATGCCATTAATATTGCTTGATTTTCAATAATATTCAATAAATTAAACATAATAAATGATTTGCAATTAATCTCACCATCACATTAAATTACAATTAAAAATATTGATTATCTTTTATTTTGTGTTTATAAGTAAATATAAAGTTTACTGCATCTGCAACCCAAGGAATATTAAATTTAAACTTTCCAAATTGATTTAATCATATATCGTATTAAAATTACAGCTAATAATATACGTAACTTTATATTATAATATAAGAGAAACAGCGAGTTTAACTCTGGCCTCATTCCCTGACATTACGTTTCCGATCGGCGATCAGGCGTTTCCGTTGAGCCCCTCATCCTATTTGTTACAACCGTTTGTAATACAAAACTTAGAATATATTCTATATTATACACATTGTTATTTTGAATCGTATTAAGAGTATGATCAATTCCAAAACAATTTAAAATTAATGTACTGTAATGCAAATAAAAATATACATTGTAAAAGAAAACATTGTATAATTTATTTCCCGACATTATAATAATAAATTAATTTTATTATTACATTAATGAAAAATGAAACGAGACTAAATGGATTTAGTATAATAAAACTGTAATTATATACTGTACAAGAGAGTATTTTAAGATAATTAACTCAATGTAATATTTTAAAGTTGGATAATATTCCACCGTATGTATTTTAAAAACATTTTGTTTTCAGTTTTATCACATGATTCTGGTTGGCACTAAACAGCACCACACTGCACCAGCTGCACCACTGCACCACTAAATATTGGTCAGTATCAACACATCCGGACTGCACCACCACGACTGCTCTACCATGACTGCACTACCATAACATAACTATCAAAAAGATATACAGTAAATTGTTATAGGGATTATTTTACAGCAAAATTTTAAAACTTTATAAATCAATATTATGATTTCGAAACTTTAATTTGTAAATTTTTTGTTATGATTTTCATTTAATCTCGTTAATTATTAAGCTTATAATAATACATATAATGTAATATATTCAAAGTCTAAAAATATTATTTCTATTTATTTAATATGTTTAAATTAAATTATACTGCTCTATGAAAATATCGCATATAGAAAATTAAAACATTTACATGCCAATTTTGCAATTGTAATTATGAATTGGAAATTAATGTGATAAATATGAACTGTAATTGATTTATTTTTGCATGATTATCCTAATAAATTGATTTTTGTATGTAATTACAAACTGTCATTTTTAAAATTATTTTAATGCTTATAAATAATTGACAAATTGTCTTTTTACAAATATAATTAGTTTAATAGTTATTTTATTTAAATTTTTGAAATATATTTCTATCATTAATTAATAATTATTTTAATTATTCTGCTTTGGACATTATAAGATTATTTATTTAACTTATGGTGGTGCAGTCATGGTGGTGCAGTCGTGGTGGTGCAGTCCGGATGTGTTGATACTGACCAATATTTAGTGGTGCAGCTGGTGCAGAGTGGTGCTGTTTAGTGCCAACCCATGATTCTAAATCACAGTTTTTTTTACACATTTTCCCCGTAAAAACAGTGTTTTTGAAATAAAACATTAATTCTTGGTTTAAAGTTACCATTGAATCTATTGCTTGCTTTAAATAAATGATTACCATAATTTTTTTGGAATTGATCATACTCTTAATACGATTCAAAATAACAATGTGTATAATATAGAATATATTCTAAGTTTTGTATTACAAACGG